AATTTGCACGGGGATTTACCCTCGGGCAAAGGGCGTGGTCTCAAGGTCACTTCAAAGTTGACCAAAAATTACATTTTATTAAAATGTTAATATTTTGCTTACTTTAAGGACTAGGATCATCAAATCTTGTCAGTTGATGCATCTAAGAACCTCATATCATGTTGACTTAAAAGTAGGTCATGGTGACTTACTTTTTAGCTCACCTCGACGAAGTCGAGATGAGCTTATGCTATACCCCCGGCGTCGGCGTCGGTGTCGGCGTCGGCGTTAGCGTCGGCGTCCCAGGTTAAAGTTTTAGGAGCAAGTCCCATTCCCAAGTAACTATAAGCCCTACCTGGACCAAACTTGCATGGATGATGCATCTAGGGATGGACACTACCAAACTTGCTTCGGATGCTGGATCTGACCTAGATTTTCCAGATGAGTGACCAGGTTAAAGTTTTAGGAGCAGGTCCATTCCCAAGTAACTATAAGCCCTACCTGGACCAAACTTGCATGGATGATGCATCTAGGGATGGACACTACCGAACTTGCTTCGGATGCTGGATCTGACCTAGATTTTCCAGATGAGTGACCAGGTTAAAGTTTTAGGAGCAGGTCCATTCCTAAGTAACTATAAGCCCTACCTGGATTAAAATTGCATGGATGATGCATCTAGGGATGGACACTACCACACTTGCTTCGGATGCTGGATCTGACCTAGATTTTCCAGATGAGTGACCAGGTTAAAGTTTTAGGAGCAGGTCCATTCCCAAGTAACTATAAGCCCTACCTGGACCAAACTTGCATGGATGATGCATCTAGGGATGGACACTACCACACATGCTTCGGATGCTGGATCTGACCTAGATTTTCCAGATGAGTGACCAGGTTAAAGTTTTAGGAGCAGGTCCATTCCCAAGTAACTATAAGCCCTACCTGGATTAAAATTGCATGGATGATGCATGTAGGGATGGACACTACTACACTTGCTTGGATGCTGGATCTGACCTAGATTTTCCAGATGAGTGACCAGGTTAAAGTTTTAGGAGCAGGTCCATTCCCAAGTAACTATAAGCCCTACCTTGATCAAACTTGCATGGATGATGCATCTAGGGATGGACACTACCACACTTGCTTCGAATGCTGGATCTGACCTACATTTTCCACATGTGAGACCAGGTATAGATTTAGGAGTAGTCCCATTCCCAAGTAACTATAAGCCCTACCTCGACCAAACTTTCATGGATGATGCATCTAGGGATGTATACTAACCAACCTGCTTCGAATGCTGGATCTGACCTAGATTTTCCACATGAGTGAATTTTAGCCATATTTTAACCAAATTAGCATGGATGTTGTATCTAGGGATGGACACTTCCAGACTTGCTTTGGATTCTGAATCTGACGTACATTTTCCAGACGAGTGACCAGGGTAATTTTTTTTGAGTAGCTATATAATATTATGGCCTTTTATGATTAAACTTGCATAGATGGTGCATCTAAGGATGAAAACTTCCAGACTTGCTTTGGATGTTGGAACTGACCAAAATTTTCTTGATTACTAAACAGGTCAAAAGTTTTTTGAGCAGGTCTATAATTAAATCAAACTTGTATGGATATTGATCTTGGGATGTACCCTAACTAGATAAAAAATATGATGTGAAATTTGCTTTACATGTAGATAACATTCGTCGAGGTGAGCTTCGTAATCTTTGATTACCTATGTTTAAATTTTGCGGCCATTCTTTTTCAAAATGATTTAGAGGCATATTTCGAACAATTTAAGGCCTATGATCATCAAACTTTGTCAGTTGATGTATCTTGGGTCCTCGAAGTACATCAACTAAAAAGTAGGTCACCTTGACCTACTTTTTAAATTTTATGTCTAATCTTTTACAAAACAAAAAAGGTCAATAATTCAAATACTTAGAGGTTTAGAGTCATGGAATCTTGCAAGATGATGCATCTTGGGGCCATAAAACATATGTATTAAAAAGTAGGTCACAGTGACCTACTTTTTGAACTTTGCAGGCATCGATTTCAAAGCGTTTTAGAGGCATAATTTGGACATTTTAGGGCCTATGATCATAAAACTTTGTAAGTTGATGCATCTTGGGTCACCGCAGCAGGTTGACTGAAAAGTAGGTCACCGTGACCTACTTTTCAATTTATGTGACTATAATTAAATATTTCAGGTACTAATTTGCTTAGAATCATCAAACTTTGTCAGTTGATGCATTTTGGGTCTTTGGAGTAGGTAAACCGAAAAGTAGGTCACCATGACCTACTTTTGAAAATTTATGGCTTTAATTAAATATTTCGGGTACTAATTGGCTAAGAATCATCAAACTTTGTCAGTTGATGCATCTTGGGTCTCGGAGTAAGTCGACTGAAAAGTAGGTCACCATGACCTACTTTTGAAAATTTATGACTTTAATTATATATTTCAGGAACTAATTTGCTTAGAATCATCAAACTTTGTCAGTTGATGCATCTTGGGTCCTTGGAGTATGACAACTGAAAAGTAGGTCACCCTGACCTACTTTTGAAATTTTATGGCTGTATTTAATATTTTTTCGGGTACTATTTGGCTAAGAATCATCAAAATTTGTAAGTTGATGCATCTTGGGTCCTCGCAGTAGGTCAACTGAAAAGTAGGTCACCATGACCTACTTTTTAATTTATATGACTATAATTAAATATTTCAGGTACTAATCGGCTTAGAATCATAAACTTTGTCAGTTGATGCATCTTGAGTCTTGGGAGTATGTCGACTGAAAAGTAGGTCACCATGACTTACTTTTGAAATTTTATGGCTGTATTTAATATTTTTGGGGTACTATTTGGATTAGAATCATCAAATAGAAGTGATAGGTTGTACAGTTTATCAGAAGAGCGATTCAAGGCCCTTGGGCCTCTTGCTTGGCTATATTTAATTATTTTCTGATACTTATTGGCATAGAATCATCAAACTTTGTCAGTTGATGCATCTTCGGGCCTTAAGATATGTCGACTGAAATGTAGGTCACTCTGACCTACTTCTGGAATTTTATGGCTACATGTATATTTATATATTTCAGATACTAATTGGCTACAAATCATCAAACTTTGTCAGTTGATGTTTTTAGGTCCTCAGTATGTGTCAACCAAAAAGTTGGTCACAGTGACTTACTTTTGGAATTTTAAGACAAAATCTAAATATTTCAAATAATAAGAGACTTAGAATCATCAAAACTTTTTCAGTTGATGCATTTTAGGGTCTAAGAGTATGTTTACCAAAGTAGGTCACCATGACCTACTTTTAGAATTTCATGGCTATATCTGAATATTTAAGATAATTAGGGGCTTCGAATCATCAAACTTTTGTCAGTTGATGCATTTTGGGTTCTCAGATTATTTTTTAACCAAAATATAGGACACCATGACCTACTTTTGGAATTTGAAGGCTTTATCTAAATATATAGGATACTTAGAGGTTTCAAATAGAAGTGATAGGTTGTACTATTTATCAGAAGAGCCATTCAAGGCCATTGGTCCTCTTGTTTTTGTTGGTTTTGAGGGGTTTAAAGCCCCATGAATTCATGTCCACCTGAAAAAAAAATATAAATTTTTATGTGCATGACTACTCAACCCCTCTCCCACCATGAAATCAAATCCCCACAACCCAATTTTTTTTCTCAAATTTCGAAAATTGAACCCTGTGATCAATATGTGATTTCACAGTATTTCTTGTCTGGGGCATGATACCAAGAATCCTCAAACATTGTCAGCTGATGTATCTGTGTGTCACACTTGAAAATAAGGTCACTGCGATCTTTTTTAATTAAGATGATATTGCAAAACCCTTTCTGGTTCATTACTATACTAGAGGGGTAGACCTATATATATATATATATATATATATATATATATATATATATATATATATATATATATATATATATATATATTACACTTATCTTTTGTCATTTATAGAATTACATGGGGAGCACCTATGATATTCAAAAAATTACAAAAAACATGACTTTGAAATACTCCTTGAGTAATAAAATGTTACTAAACCACAAATTAAATTCAAACTATTCATGATGGAATTCATTGATTGTCAATCTTATCCATACCAACCTATGTTTTTTTCAAAATTTAAAACATTTTTGTACTTAAAGAAAATTGATCCTATTTAGAGAGATAACAATAAATTATAAGCATTTATGTGTCAAAACAAAGTACATGTACATGTAATTTAATGACTAAATTCAATTCACAGAATATTCAAAATGTTTTAATTTTAGAAGAAAAAGACTGTATCTTACAACATTTCTAAAGAATTCAGGAGCTTTCTAGACACAAAAGAAAAATACAACATGAAATATTTTTTTAAAAATAAGTTATAAAGTATGTGTAAATGGATAAAAATAGTTGGAAAAAACAAGAATTTTAACATTTTTGTTTGTTTGTTTTGTTTTGTTTTTGGTAGCAAAATTTTTAAGGTAATTGCAGGAGCAGTTCTAAGTGCACACGTCTATAGACATTCACAAAAATGTTAGAATTATTATTGAATAAGATTTTACAATCGACAGATGATCTCGTCTTTTACTCATCACTAGTGGGCGAACTCGCTGAAATATCGCTGTAAAACATGCTAATTTGTTGATTATAGACAACCAATCAGAAAGTTGGAACTCTTCAATTTTGAAAATAGGTTTATTAGTTTGCTATTTATGGTAAATATTTTTATGCCTGTTCAAATGTGCGAATGAGATCACCTGTGGGTATCTGACGATGCAAGCATAAATGATGAAAGATAATTTAAACTTTAAAAATAGTTTAAAAAGTGGTTAAAGATTGTGTAAAGATGACTTAATGGTGGCTTAAAAAAGTTTGGACATTAATGATTATAAGCGAAATGGTTCTTTTAAGAAATTAACTTCTTTAAGATGCTTTTAAGCCATCTTTAAAGGGTTTTTTTTTTTTTTTTTTTTTTTTTTTTTTTGTATAATTTTTTTTTTCTTTTGCAGGACTGGATGACTGGGACATCATTGCTCCAGTAGATGTGCCACAATACAAAATGTCCAGTTTCCTGGAACGTAATATTTTAGGCTCTTTGACTGGGACACTTTCAAGTGGAATGGGAAAAACTCTTACACAGATGCAAAGAGCAATGGGTAAAATAAAATCAATAATGAAATTGAGTGTTAGATTGCATCTATTCTAAATGTACCAGAGAAAAAAAAAAAAAAAAAAAAAAAAAACATGCACAAGAAGGATATAGGTAACAGGTAAATAAAGAATTTTTTTTAGAAAAAAAAGCTTGCATTATTTAATTTTGACATTTTATAATATTTTTATATATAGAAAAAAATAAATGTAACTCATTTAAACCAACCACATTTTTCAATAACACAAGTCAGTCAAAACCTGTACTACATGTAAAAGACATAGGAATGATCAATTTTACTAAACTATACCAGTATGGTACAAGTGACTTACCCCATAAAATATTGTAGGTTATGTGCAGATATCCGATGGGCATTGTCATTATATATTATGAGCTACGCTTCCTTGTGTCATTATAACCACACCATTGGGTATCTGCTTATAACCAACAATATTATGTGTGGTAACTATTGCTTACCATTTCTGCTTCATAATATTGTGCATGCTTAATAGGGCTGGGACGATTCAGGGTTCAATCGATTCGGTTTGGTTTCGGTTCAGAATGATACAGTTCGTTTTTTTTTCGATTTAACCTAAAACAGTCTAAATATTTCTCATCATAAATGAAAAATGATAACCTCTGCTTTAAAAGCTGATTAAAAGCCTTTACTCCAGTCTTCACAAAAACTTTTCTGAGACACTAACAAGTGAGGTTAGTGGATTTGACATTTTTACTAGCTAAAGTAAAATTTCTACTAGCCCAGAAAAATAATAAAATTTGAAACCTTTTGTTGTATTATTTTATTCCATTTCATAATGAATTACTCTTCTTTTCATATTTCCTCTGCTTATTTTCTCAATTTGTATTTTTCTTCTGAGTCAATGATAAATAAATAATCAGAGAAATTATTTAAGGCTGAATTTAACAGAATAAACAATCATGCTATAGATACCTTTTACCATGGTAGTATACACTCATCTTTTTTTCTGATCATTGGACTTCCTCTTCCAAAATGAAGTGAAAGCTAGGTGATTTATTTTTATAATTCAAATTTTCAGAAACAATGTTAATATATTTTTGATAATACTTGTAAATCTTTAGTTTATTAGTTGAGTAGTTGGAAATAATTTAATCAATTAATGTGATATCTACTTGTATTTTCCAAAAAATCGGAATGGAGGAAATTCGGATTAGTAGAAAAAAGATGATCGTTTTCATGTTTTTAGAAATGAAAAAAATAATGCAGAAGTGCTAAAAGAATTAGATAGAAGAGATATGAACAAGAGAACCACACTTCTTTGATTTTTTTCATTGGTTGGGGATTTAAAAGCAAAACTTGGAAAATACCTGCTACTTTTTCACTAGCAAGTCGGGTTATTTACTAGCCCATACCAATTTAAACTAACCTCTATTGTAAAAGTAAGGGGTGTTTGTGGAATAAAAAAAATAATCACTGACTTCAAACTGGCACAATCATTATAAAAAAGTATTACAATCATGAAAACAAACACTTCTGATCTCCAATTGGCAGCCATTTTTGTTTTACTTGTTATGTAAATTTTGAACCGAACCGAACCGAATTCCGGAATTCTGGATTGGTGCATCGAATCGATCAGTATGAACTGCGGTACACCGAAATTTTCGGTGCACCGCACAGCCCTAATGCTTAAAGGAGGAGGCATATATCAAACCATGTAAGTTAATAAATTTTGGAGCATAAATATGTATGTCTTTTAAACATTTATGCACTAGACAGGGATATGCCTCTAAAATTTAGCGCCTTATCAACAAAATTCAGTCGTCAATTTTTAGTCGCCAGGCAATTTTTTTAAGCCCCAACTTTAAAAGTTAATAGTTAATATAGGGACCCATGATGGGGTAGTCATAGATGGAGAGTGTCTAGTGCCCCTTGTGCTTTTGAAAATGTTCAATGTAGAATTGTGAAATGAGAAGACTGATTTTGCTATTCAAATATTTATTTTTGATTGAATACCCCCTCCCCCATCTTTTACCTTTCCTTGGGTAATTTAATAAAAATCTAAAGATCATAAAGAAAAAAAATCAGCATAAATATAAGTGAGTTAAATGCAATCTTTAACTTAAGCATGCTTATGTAAAACTGTAAAATTCAAAAAAATTAAATTGATCATTTCCTTTTAAGAAACTTGGACTGGGTGAAATATTCTTTAAAACATTAATAATGTAGAGGATTGTTTACATGTTTAACATTCTTGTCCGTACAAGTACGACCTAACATTAACATACAGACGATATCTCTAATGAGTGATAATTTAATTGGCAAACAAATGACCACATCACCGGCCCATCTAATTTACTATATTTCATAATTATCGATTTTCTGAAGCCAACAATTACCTGGGGCAGTTGGATGCGTATCATTACTGCTACATTTTCAAAATAGTCATTACTGCTACATACTCCTTACCGCTACAAAAAAGGTTACATTACCGCTACATTTAAAACAATACATTATCGCTACATTACCTCTTTCGTTAGCCAGCGGCTTATGTGTATACAGACTGATTAAAGTACAACATATACATGCATAAGACCTTTTCCCCCTGCTCACCATGGGGAGGTGAAAGTAGGACTTTGAGCAGGATTTTTTTCTTCATTTTTTCCTAATTTTTTATTTAAAATCTATTTTATTTCATTAAAAATTTAGAAAGTTTTAAAACAAAGCATTGTTCATGGATAAAACGCTCAGTCTTCACTTAATAAGTAGAGCTTTGAAGGCCATTTGCTTGATGTACTGCTGTCTGGAAATCTCACCATTTTCATATTTCGCTCAGATCCAAATTGTGCGCCACTACATTGTGAGTGAAATATATTGAAATGGAACTCATATTCCATGCCATTGCTGGTAGATTCGAAATGTAGGGGTAATGAATTGTAATTGGCAATAGTCTTTTTGATAAAATGTAGCGGTAACGATCACCTGAAATTCTGAATTAATGAGTTGAAAGTTTTTGCAATGTAGCAGTAATGTTGACCTCCCAGGTAGTTATTCTCTTGTCTAGTCTACCTGAGCTGTGTGTACCCTTACGGGACGTGAAATTTTGTTCGCAGGTGTATTTACTAAAAAAGAACAAAAAGGTGGTTAAGAAAATGCATGTCTATTGCTAAAAATAATTTGCCCTTCTTTTATATTTCTTTTCGCTTCTTTAGAAAAATAAAAATTGTTAAAAATGATAAAAATTCCGGAATTCGAGTGCCAAGTCATTTTTTTAAATAGTTGGGAATTTGGCAACTTAAGGAAAAATTTTAACTGCCAATCAAAAATATTAGGCGCCATGGCAACTAAATTAGTCACCAGTTAGAGCCCTGAGGGACTAAATTTTGAGCAAGATCATTCATAGTGAAAATTGTAGTTTAAAGAAAAAAACTAAACATAACAAGTATTAGCTTTCCTAAAAAAGCTTGTCTGACTTGAGCAAATTTATTTTATGCGAAGAATCAAGAAAAGCTTAATTCAGTCTAATCAACATGAAATGAATTCTTTTGCTAAGAAACAAGAAAAGTTCAATTCAGAGGCATCAACATAAAATAAAACGTGGACATGAATTAATTCTATTTTGAATTTATTGTAATTTCTTTTTTTCATGGACGTACTGTAGGAACCGGAAAGGGGGGATGTTGGGGACCATGCCCCCAATAATTTTGCCGATTTATACATAGCTATTTTATGCCTGTGTCCCCTAAATCATGTAAATATAAGCTTTTGATAACTTTTTTATGCTCTATAAGGAATTTTTTCTTGATAGTGCCCACCCTAAATTGGAAATGTCTGAAAGGACAAGTGCACTTAAGCAATGCTCAATGGGCCCTTTTTTGGTGTCGTTTTACTTTGGAATATATTACCAAATTGTTCTTTTTGGTAATGGACTTTTACGACAAGCACTGACTTTTACACTCGACGGCTTACTCTGACATTTAAACATGAATTATGTACGGAGGTACGGAATTGATAATAGATTAGAAAACCTTACTAGTGGTCATAGGTAGGGTGTTAGGGGCACTAACATGAATTACCGGTATGCAATCTACATGAGAGATGATGGGAGGTAGAATAACATAACTTAAAATACCTTATTCTTGAGGGGTAGTATCTCCTTTCAGTCTCATTTTATGAAGGGATCAAATAAGGAAGAAAAAATGTTCCGGAAGGAAAACTTGGCAGGAGTTGCTCAAGGTGGGAAAGGGAGGGGTTTAGTATAGGGCGTTTCTTGTTCCCCTCCCTAACCAACGTAATATATGCTTTGAATATCAATTATTATCCTTTAATTAATTATTAAGCTAAATATTTATATCGCAAAAGAGCTGCCGTATATTGCCCCAGTGTAAAAGTAAATCGTCGATTGTAAAAGTCAGCGCTTCTCGCAAAAGTCCAATAGTTAAACACAAGTGGATATTTCTAATTAAAATCATGTTAAAAATCACCTAAATCAGCATGGATTGAAACAAATGAAGATTTTTAAATGCCTATAGCTACCCAAATCCGGAAAAGTCGTTCTGAACCTATTTTGAGTTTCGTTTATTTAAATCAAGGGGAGGAGACATTTAAATCGGACACTTGAACAAGCTGATGGTGGATCATTTACGGGCGCGTTTGCCGAATGATACTTCTTGCGCTATTTTACTTGAGAAAAAAAATCGAATGAAGTTGTATAGATGCCTGTAGCCATTGTGATCAAACTAAGAAATTTACACGCTTGCATTTGAAATAATACAATAAGAATTACCATTAGGTCCTTTAAATTTTGAAATGAAAAAAGTGTACTTAGGTGGCTTTCAATAGCAGCACCATTGTCTTGTATGAATGAAAAAAATGTTTGACGCTTTTATGTATGATGACATTTTAACGACACTAAACTCTCCTAACCCTCCCGTGTTCCTAAAACCAAATACATGTACATACGAACTTCTATCTCTATGCGGCACGACTTCGATATAATGATACAAAACGTGGCTATCTTTACAGTGAGCACCTTTGAGAAATGTTTACCTGGGTTGAACTCACGTGACTACCGGTATTTTAAATAATTTATTCCACGAGTTGGTTCAACATAGGTCATACAGGTAAATAGCTCTCGCTTGCTATAGGAAAAACATTGAACTTTTCATACATTTTTAATGTTTTAAGTATAAGCCTAATCTTGTACAAATTTCCAACTTTCACACAAGTTTTATAAATGTATAATGCACTTTTTGTCATTCGCACAAGTTTGTACTACGTTAGGCTGACAGTAAACAAAAGCTTTGAAATGAATGACCGTCCTCGATTTACTATAGAAAATCACGAATGTTGGCTGACCCCCACCACATTGTATGGCTTTGCTCTTTGTATATTCATGAATTTCAGCGAAAAAAAAAGTTGAATCTTATGGTTTAGATATCAATTAAATAAATGATCTGAGATGAAAAATTATGCTTAATTTGATTTTTCCTTTTTCCACATTTTACCGGGGCTCATAAATGCACTCGTTCTTTCTTCCAATGAGCTTGATTATGGGTTCAAAATTATATCTAGTGCTTTTGAAAGAAAAAAACTACAATACATAAAAATCTAAACATCAATTGGTGAACAATTTTGATAATTAAGAAATGTTTTATTTAAAAAAAAAAATAAACGTGTTACAAATGAGCCAACATCTTTGCATTTAAGCAAAGGAATATTCAACATCTATTCTTCACTTCGATTTTTTTTTTTACTATGAATAAACCAAACGTTTGCAAGTTATGAATATGTGTATATTTATAAAAATGCTTAAGGAAGAGAGGCTTAGTGTTCATTGAAAATAAACATCCATTAGTTAATCCGATAAAGATAATCGGCAGTGTTGACCTGACCAGCTTCATTCCTTCTGTTTTGCTAGACATGAATGATGCATTCGGAGGATGGTCAAATGTTATGTAACCTGTAATGTATAATGTGATAATAATGACATCAGCTCCAATGCTCTGGCTTGTTTGGGTGTTTAGCATGTTTCCTTTACTCCTTATGCTCTCCAATTGATAGTTAAGATAGTACGAAGTTTCCAAGATCAAGTTATCACAAGAATTCTATTGAATGACTTGACCAACAAGCCTTGGCTAAATCTAGTACTGTCTGACGCCATGACGTCAGACAATAAAGTGATGAAGTATGGAAAAAAACTACATAACTTAAAATTCTGGCTGAACTTTACAGAAAATAACATCATTTTGGTGTTATATTGCTACATGACTGTTGACATAAATTCTATGTGTAACTTATCTTCATCTTAGCTCGCATATTTTTTGATATGTTAAAAGAAAATTTTTTTACTACATATTCCTGCAAGAAACATGACATCTTATTTTTTGTACAGAGCTTTACAAAATGAAGCTCACCAGTAAATTGATGCAGGATTTAGTTTCTGAAAAATTCCACAAGCAAGCATTAAGAATACTGTGGAATCATTTTCTTTTGTTAGGGTCAGTGTTTGTGGGTAACCAAATTTTAGTGCTTTGTGGGAACGTAATTTTGTGGGTAACTTGTATATACAGATTCAGTAAACCCATATGTTGGTTAAATAATTGTACATGGGAATGTTAATTTGTCAGTAAGAATGACCCACAGAATCCATGAATAGTGCTCCCCCATGAAAAATGATTCCACAGTAGGAATTCAGGCCACTTTTAGTCCGTATTCACCCACGGTCTTCCAGTTAAATGCATATTAATGGAAACTACAACTTTCAGATTGATGCCTGTATTGTGATTTTTTTATTTAACAGGAATTAAAGTGCAGGAAGAAGTTAAATTTAAAGCAGCAAAACCCCCAATGTCTGATCAGGAATTCAGAAATTTTCTTGACTCAATTGGGCACATGATTAAACCAGAAGAATTTCGAATAAGTATATATCAAGGTGGTTGTGAACCATCTTTGAGAAGAGTAGCTTGGAGGCACTTGCTAAACATTTTTCCAAATGGACTTTCTGGAAAGGAAAGATTTGAATATATGAAGAGAAAAGAAAAAGAATATTTTGACTTGAGAGATCATTGGAAAAGATTAGTAAATGGAGAGTCAATGTCAGAGGAAATGAAATTTGTGACATCAATGGTCAAAAAAGATGTTCTAAGAACTGACCGTACACACAAATTCTACTCTGGTTCTGATGATAACAAAAATCTGATTTCGTTGTTCAATGTACTGGTGACATTTGCACTGACTCACCCAGAAACTTCATATTGCCAAGGCATGAGTGATATAGCTTCTCCACTGCTAGTCATACAGAAAGATGAGGCTCAAACCTATCTCTGTTTTTGTGCCATTATGAGAAGACTGAAAAATAATTTTAATATTGATGGACAAGCTATAACCATGAAATTTAAACATCTTTCTGATTTGCTTCATGTGCATGACTCAGAGTTGCACTCCTACTTCCAAAAAATCAATGCTAGCGACTTGTTCTTTTGTTACAGATGGATATTATTAGAACTCAAGAGAGAATTTCCTTTTGAAGATGCTCTTTACATGTTAGAAGTAATGTGGAGCACATTACCACCTGATCCACCAAGTTTGGAAGTTCCACTTGTAGATGAGTCATTCTCAAAAGAAAACTTATCTCGTTTACCATGCTCCCCATCTTTTGGTATCCAACAAACTGTTTATGCGAAACTAAATGCCCTGAGAAGACAAAAGTCAATATTAAAAAATAATTCTTCATTTGAAGGGGAAAATATAAGTGAAGAGGAATTAAGTCAGAAAAGTGTAAACAATAACTCGAGAACAACTGATATTTTGGATGAATCCGGCTCAGTAGTGAATTCCCAAGAATATCCAGTCTTAAATGATACCGAGACACAGAATATGGTTGTAAAGAGTTCATCCATTGATGGATCTTTAAAAGATCCTGTTGAAAAAAGTCATGATGATAAGGTAGAAAATTTCCATGAAAAAGATTTACACTTTCAGATTTCTTTGGATAATGTTAAAAATATCCCAGAAAGTGATGAAACTGCAGTACGTCAGAGTTCTCAGTTTATAAAAGAAAACAAAAAAGTAATATCTGTAAATGAGGATGGGAACTCTGAGAAATCAACTAACAAATGTGTGGATAGACATGACAATGCATTACTTCAGGATGATGAACAGTCTCAGTTCTACATATCTTTAGATGAAAGTCGAGAGAATAAAACTAATGCAAGTGAAAAAGTTGTCAGCAGAGATGAAGTCAGTGAAGATTCTGATGTTTCTGCGGCTCAGGATGAGGATCCTGCTCCTTATAGTAAAAATTGTAATTTGTCACAAATGGAGATAATTGGAAGCAGTTGCAGAAAAAATGTCTTTACACATGGTTTGAATGAAAATTTGACAAAATCTGAAAAAGAAATTTTGAGACATGGAAAACTAGGAACACAATCAGTCAATTTCAGTACTGAGTACAATTCCAGTTGTCATTCAGAACAGTTGAACTTGTCAAATTCTCTGGAAATAGTCAAACATGATGATGATAAAAATGCATGTCTCCCAGCCCCACAGGATTTTGGTTGTGGAAATCCATTCTTAATGTTTCTCTGTTTGTCATTGCTACAACAGCATAGGGATCGCATTTTGCAGAAGAAATTGGAATATGATGAGATTGCCATCATGTTTGACAAACTTGTCAGAAAACATGATGTACACAAAGTATTACATTATAGTAGATGTCTTTATTCTGAGTACCTTAGGACGCAGCAAAAAATTAGTGAATCCAATGATGGAGACCCTAGTGTTTAAAATGTTTTGTTTTTATTAAAAAATTCAACAGTCTCGTTTAAGGTCATCATTTGTAAATTCTATGGTCAATACAATGACCTTGTCAGCAAATACAATCTATAAATAAATCATATGCTGACTGATGTTTTTCATACTAATTGTTAGGCCATTATTCAAACACTGAATTGTCGACGAATTTTTAGCTCTTCTGAGCCAAAGGCTCGAAGAGCTATTGCTATGGCCATTTATGCGGTGTGCATAAACTTTTTGGAAAATGGGCCATATCTCAAGAACCCCTAAGTCAATTTTTTATACCCCCCGCAAACGAAGTTTAGGGGGGGTATATTGGAATCAGCTTGTCCGTCTGTCTGTCTGTCCGTCTGTCTGTAGACGAGATTTTGTCCGGACCATTTCTTGGAAACTGTTGCAAGGATTTGTCTGAAAATTTGTACACTTATTATTCTCCATATGAAGGTGTGCACCTGGTATTTTCATCATGATTGGATAATTTTTTTGCATTTTACAGGTGTTTTTTTCATTTTTATTATGTGGTTTTGTCTGGATCTGTTCCCAGAGACTATTGCATAGATTTGTATGAAAATTTGTACACTTATTATTTACTATATGAAGATGTGTACCTGGTATTTTCAACATTATTTGATAATTTTTCTGCAGTTTTACAGTTGTTTTTTTTTTCATTTTTATTGACTTAGTCATTTTGGGTTCATGTTTAAGGTTTGAGACATAGAATCTAGAACATCTGTACAAAAATGTGAACTACAGCTTAAAACAACTCATTAGAACTAAAAAAAATCACAAATTATTAAAAATAGTTTTTACATTACACAGCAGATAGTGTAAATCCATTTGTCCCTTGGGAGTAATGAATGGACATGCATCCAGTTAAAGATTAATTGATGAGTTCAGTGTGGGAAGCTGTTAGGGCATCTCTGATCAAGCAGGTCTTATCTATATCTCCGGGGAATTGGGCAGAAAGAAATAAAGATCTCTGTTGTCTAAGTCTCTTAATTGTAATTTATGTCTGTCAAAATACATAGTTACTGGAACCAGCCTTTTATTTTTAAAATGAGTTTGATATAAAGGTATTAAGATCAATTTGATTTTGTATAATTAATTATGATAAATTTTTTTTCAACAATCAATTTGCAGAGTGTCATGTCTCACAAAGATGACAGAGAGTTGCAAACTATTTTTTCAATGTAATAAAAAACACTGTAATTATTAGTATTGATGTTTTATTAGGCTGCACCTTAGTTTCATTCATTAAAAAAAATATAATGAGTAATTAAATTTTCACTCTAAATGTTTAAGCAAATTGTGAACATCTCTCACATCTAGAAAACATTAGTGATTTGGTACCTTCTCTGAAAAACCCAGCGGGGGGTATTTGTCCCTTTTGGACAGTTCTAGTTTCAAATTTGTCATGGAGTATTCTTGGCCCAAGGGCATTCATTTATACTAAAACTAGGGATATATCCCTTAAACAAGGGGAGATAATTAGGGAAATAAAAACAAAAGTAGTGGTTTCTGAAAAATCTTCTCAAGAACCACTGGGCAGGTTATCACCAAACTTATATAGAAGGATAAGGATATGTTGTGTATGTAGATTAAAATTTTCACAGGGAATTTCCCTGGGGCAAAGGGTGTGGTCTCAAGGTCTCTTCAAAGTTGACTGAAATTTATGTTTTGTTTAATCTTTTACATTTTGCCCATTATTTGGCCTAGGATCATCGAAATCTTGTCAGTTGATGCATCTTCGGACCTCATATGGTGTTGACTCAATAATAGGTCATGGTGTCCTACTTTTTAGGTCACCTGAGTCACTCAGGTGAGCTATTGCTATCTGTTTTCATCCGTCTTTGTGCGGGTGTGCGTCGTATGTAAACTTTTTACATTTTCGACTTCTTCTCAAGAACCACTGGGGCAATTTCCACCCAGTATCCTTAAGTATCCTTAGGTGATGATGATTCAAGTTTGTTCAATTGAAGGGCCACGCCTTCTTCCAAGGGGAGATAATTAAGAATGAAAAATTAATGGTATCTTTTAAAAATCTTCTTCTCAAGAACCACTGGACCAGGTAAGATGAAACTTATAGGGACACATCCTCAGGTAATGTAGACTCAAATTTGTTAAAATCATAACCCCGAGGGGTAGGGTGGGGCCACAAAGGATGATCAAAGTTTTACATAGAAATACTTAAAAAAAAATTAAAAATCTTCTCCAGAACCACTAGGCCAAGAAAGATAAAACTTATGTGGAAACATCCTCAGGTGGTGTAGAATCTTATGTGGAAGCATCCTCAGGTAGTGTAGATTCAAGTTTGTTCAAATCATGACCCCTGGGGGTCGGGTGGGGCCACAATGGGCGATCAAAGTTTTACATATGAATATATAGGAAAAATCTTTAAAAGTCTTCTTCTCAAGAACAGCAAAGCCATGATTGGTCATATTTATATGGTAGCATCCTCTGGTAGTGTAGATTCAAATTTGTTCAAATCATGACCCCCAGGGGTAGGGTGGGGCCACAATGGGCGATCAAAGTTTTACATAGGAATATATAGGAAAAATATTTAAAAATCTTCTTCTCAAGAACAGCAAAGCCATGATTGGTCATATTTACAAGGAAGCATCCTCAGATAGTGTAGATTCAAATTTGTTCAAATCATGACCCCCGGAGATAGGGTGGGGCCACAATGGGTGATCAAAGTTTTACATAGGAACACGTAGTAAAAATCTTTTTAAAAAAACTATTTCTTAAGAACAGCAAAGCCATGATATGCATATTCATATTCATATGGAAGCATTCTTAGATAGTGTACATTCAAGTTTGTTCAAACATGACCCCTAGGGGTCGGGTGGGGCCACAATGGGTGATCAAAGTTTTACATAGGAATACATAGGTTAAATCTTTAAAAATCTTCTACTCAAGAACAGCAAAGCCATGATTGGTCATATTTAAATGGAAGCATCCTCAGATAATGTAGATTCAAATTTGTTCAATTCATGACCCCCCCCCCCACTTTTATATTTAAACTTTTCAACCTTTCAAGACTGAACTGATTTCTGCTTTTTTCTAGCCATAGTGCTCAGGTGAGTGATGTGGCCCCTGGGCCTCTTGTTTCAGTTACGAATTGGCTTAGAATCATCAAACTTTGTCAGTTGATGCATTTTGGGTCCTCAAAGTGTGTAAACCATAAAGTAGGTCACCATGACCTACTTTTGGAATTTGGTGGTTATTTCAGATAGTAATTGGCTTAGAATCCACAAAATTTGTCAGTTTATGCATCTTGAGTCTTCGGAATGTATCAACCAAAATGTAGGTCACTTTGACCTACTTTTGCAATTTCATGGCTTAATTTGAATATTTCAGGTACTAATTGGCTTGGAATTATCAAACTTTGTCAGTTGATGCGTCTTGGGTACTCGGAGTGTGTCAACCAAAAAGTAGGTTACAGTGACCTACTTTAGGAATTTGATGGCTATTTCAAATAGTATTTGGCTTAGAATTATCAAAGTAAATAAGTTGATGCACCTTTAGTCCTCAAAGTGTTCAACCAAAGAGTACGTCGCCTTGACCTATTTTTGGATTTAATGGCTTTTTCAGTTACTAATTGTCTTAGAATCATCGAACTTTGTCAGTTGATGCATTGTATCAACCAAAAAGTAGGTCACTGTGACCTTTTTTTGCAATTTCATGGCATAATTCAGGTACTTATGGGCTTGGAATTATCAAACTTTGTCAGTTGATGCATCTTGGGTACCCGGAGTGTGTAAACCAAAAAGTAGGTCGCTGTGACCTCCTTTAGGAATTTGATGGTTATTTCAGATACTTATTGGCTTAAAATCATCAAACTTTGTCAGTTGATTCATCTTGAATCCTCGGAGTGTATCAACCAAAAAGGAGGTCACTATGACCTACTTTTGCAACTTCATGGCTAAAGGGGGGAGTTTCGATAAAGCCGTTTTTCGGCCCCTCACGAAATTTCATGAAATTTGGATATTTTGTAGAAAAACTTATTATATTCCTCAAAATATGAAAATAATTTATGTTGCGGATTTTCCGGTCACGTGATAATTGAGAATTTGAGTATACCCCCTTTCGTATATTTTTGAGTAGACATTTTTATGGGGGAAAGTGGATTTTTTGAACCGTCAAAATCGTAAATGAAATAGGATAAATATGAATAAAGACATAAATTAACCAATTTCAAAATTTTTTTTAACGGAAAATGGTATTGATTTTAT